TTTTGTAAAAGTATTTCCAATACCCAGATAAATAATAACGGTGATAACGGACAACCTTGCCTTGTTCCTTTCTGTACTTTGAAGTTATCTGTCAGTTCTTTATTCACATTTATTTTAGCTCTTTGTTCAGAATAGATAGCTTCAATACAATTTCTAAAATGTTGTCCCGCTTCAATCTTTTCCATCATCTGGTGCATAAAATTCCAATTAAGATTGTCAAAAGCTTTTTCTGCATCAACAAACAGAAAAGCTACTTCTTTTTCTGGGTGCTTTTCATAATATTCAATTGCGTCCATTACTATTCTTACATTGTCTCTAATCTGCCTTTTGGGTAAAAAGCCCGCTTGATCTTCAGAAATTACCGTTTGTAAATAGTTTTTCACCCTTTCTGCAATAATTTTTGCAAAGATTTTATAATCGTTGTTCAAAAGAGATATTGGCCTGTAGTTCTTTACATTTGTTGAATCTTGTCCTTCCTTTGGAATCAAAGAAATAATTGCTTCTTTCCATGAGTCCGGCACCTTTTTGTTTTCTCTTATTTCGTTGGTTAAAGCTTCCAGGACCGGGGAAATTTCTTCTTTCATCTTTTTGTAGAATTTCGCTGTAAATCCGTCCGGCCCAGGCGCCTTCCCCAACTTTGTCTCTTCTATTGCCTTCATCACTTCTTCTTTTTGAATTGGACCATTTAATAAATCTTTGTATTCCTTACTTATTTTTGGTAGTGGAATCTCCTTTAAATATGTTTTAATCTTCTCAAGATCAACTCTAGTTGTTTGGAATAGTTTAGCATAATACTTGAAGAAACATCTCTTTATTCCATTAGGATCAACGAACTCTTTTCCATCTTCTATTATTTTGGTTATCATTCTTCTCTCTCTTCTAGCCTTAAGTTGCCAAGCTAAGTATTTTCCCGGTTTGTTCGCCCCTTCAAAAGATTTCTGTTGTAACTTCTTTAAATTCCAATACATTTCCTGATTCCAAGTCTCATTCAGTTGTTCCTTCAGCAACTTTAATTCTTTAATAATTTGCTTTTTTCCAGGCTTCTTTTTTAATTCCTTTTCTTTCTGAGCAATTTTTTCTAACACTTCTGTTTGTTTTTGAAGTTTTTCCTTTTTTTGCTTCACGTTTTGCGAGATGAGAATTCCTCTCATCACCGCTTTATAAGCATCCCATACAATCTGTATCGGTGTTTCTTTATTTAAATTTTGTTGAAAGAATTGTTTCGTTTCTTCCTTTAACATCTCAATTACCGTTTTCTTATCCAACAAGTCTTCATTAATCCTCCACAGAAAGGGTTTTTTCCTTTCTGTGGAACTCCATACCACCGGATTGTGATCTGAATTACATCTTGGCAAAATTTCAGTCTTATGTGTTTTCATTGATAATTCTTCAGACATCCAAATCATATCAATTCTGGAAAAAGAGCAATGTCTATTGGAATAAAAAGTAAAGTCTTTCTGCATCGGGTTCCATTTCCTCCAAACATCTTCTAATTTTTCTTGCTTAACTAATTCAAAAAAATTCTTTGGCAATTTTCCGCTGAATTCGTTGTCCTTTTGTGGTTTTCTGTCTAGACGATCTATTGTCCCATTAAAGTCTCCGGCCATAATAACTTGCTCATAAGTCAATTGTTGTAATTGGTCAGTTATATCCTTAAAAAATTTTTCCTTTGCTCCATTGGGTGCGTACACGTTGATCAACAATGTTTTTTTCTGCTGAATCATTAATTCCACACCCACGTATCTGCCATCTATGTCCTTAAAAATTTCTGTAGGTTGTAACTCCTTCTTCACATATGTCACAACTCCTTTTTTCTTGTTTGAGGCCGCAGAACAAAATTCAATTCCAAATAAAGCATTCTTTAAATATTTTATATCCTGTTTTCTAATATGTGTTTCTTGCAAGCATATCACGTTGCATTTCTGTTTCTGTATCCAATGATTGATTCTTTTCCTCTTGTTTGGTGAATTTAATCCATTAACATTCCATGACAACAATTTGTACTCCATTATGCGTTTTATTTTAAAGTTCTCCAAAGACGTCCGCATTGTCCGCCTTAAATTTATAAAAGTCCATCATCGATCTGATCTGAATCCTCCCACCTTGATACGTAAAGGATAAACCTTGTGGAATCTCCCATCTATATCTGATGCTCAAAGCTCTGAGTTTGTCCGCCAAGGATTTATACCTTTTCCTGTCTTGCAGTATTGTTCTTGGGAGTTCTCTCATCACCATAATTTTGTTTCCCTCTATTACAAAAGGGACGTTGAATTGCTTCTTGAATATCTCCTCTGTTATTGATCTTGTTACAAATTGTACAATTACATCCCTTGGTAAATTCTTCTTTTCTGCAATTCTGGAGTTCACTCTATAAATCAAATCAAAGTCTGAGTCCATTGACCCTTGGTTTAAGTTCTGGGTCTGAGTCGGCTCTTTTCTTGCCTCTCCTGGTCTCCGTCTTGGCGATTTCTTTCCAATTCACAGATTCGCAAAATAAAGCACTCTTCTAGATGATAAGATTTAGTCCTCCATGCCTCTCTGTTTACGCTTTCCAAAGACCCTTAGAAATATATTAAAAAAGCAAATTTAGTTGAAGTCCTCCTCAAAATGTCGGGCGCAACTTCTCTATGGTAATTTCATGTAGAGTAGGTCAAATTGATACTTTGCAGGCCCTTCCTTCCGCATACAACTCACTTCCGGTCCGGCACCTTTAAAAGTTCCACTGTCTTCCTTTCGCTAATGCCCGTCTAGGAATTCAACTTCCTGGATGTTTCACACGGACCTCTTTCTTTGTGACACCAGCCTGCTCTTCCCACGCTATTGTTCGTGAGTTTCGATTTTACAGTTGCGCACACGGCTCCATCTTCACCACAGGAATGTTAAACAATAAGCGTTTTTACAGTTTTTAAAGGCTTCAATCAACTTTTTTCTCTCCGGAATCGGATTTCTGGGATTTACTATTCATTTTCCGCTCAACCGCTTAATTCAAATTGACTCCAAACTCAGTTCAGGTAAGCGGCACGTTTTTGTTATCTAGCACGTTCAAAACGGGTTTCGCATTGTTTCTTTTAACTCACAGTTGTTGTCCTTCTTCAAAGAAGTCTGCTGACGAAGAATTTATGCCGGTAATCCGGCTCGATCGGCCACTATAGAGTTGCTTGGCACTTGCCTTCTTCGTGGGAGGAGGTCAAAGCCCAATTCAGCTTCTTCCGAAGCTGGATTACGCCAACCTCACACTCCCTCTAGGGCGCTGCTGCCTGCTTGTCCCCCCCCCTCGCTGGGGAGTGATGCGTTGGGCTGTGTATTGCCCAAACTGTCGAAAGTGGCCGTTGCTCGCTTCGCACGATCACGAAACGCTTCAGTCCTCCATCTTAGCCAGATCGGAAGCCAAAAATTAACTGCTTTCTGACCAATCTAAGGAAGTACATGCAGTTTTATCCCCGAAATGACATAGGCAAAACATAACATACAAAAATCATAATTGGTGACACATGGCAGAGCATCATTTGAGTAGGCACATGTTCATTGGTCAGTTACAGCAAAAGGTGTGACTACATGATATCTTAAATGTTTATTTAACGTAACCCTATTCAAGTTTACCCAAGGATTCTCTACGCCCAAGCAAAATGTGTAGTTTTCAGATAAGAAACTAAAGCCCTTATTGACCCAGACGCTGCAGAGTTTTACCCTAAACAACTAAAACCATCAACTCCATACTTTGAATAAAAAGTCAAGCAAATACCTCTGTTGAAAATCCCATCCTCCACTTTACCCTCAGTGCTACACTTAAGACCTATTAGAACTTCCAGTCAGCAAACACAGCTATTCCATCCAAACAACTTCTTGTCTGCTGTCATCAGCTAAAAAGATGCTCTAACCTACAAAGAGGCCTCACAACTTAACAAACTCTTATTAAATCCTAATAAAATCTTAATATCACAATTTATAAAACCAGAAAAAACATAAGTATCTGAATAATTTGAATTAAAATCATTATATATTCCCATTCATGCTACAGTTGTGACACCAAAACTTGGAACTTCCTCGTCAGGGAGGCTCATCTCCCTCCCTCCGTCTGTCTCTGTCTCTCTGTTTTTCACCAGCAGGTGAAGACCTTTTTGTTTCCTCTAGCACACCCCCAGACAAATGCGCACACACACACGAGCTGGACCCCGGCAGGGAAGTCAGTACCTCAGCACCCCTTCCTCGTTTTTGTCATCTTCTGTCCCCTTCTGAAGTAGAGAAGGCGCACGCGTTTAAGCCATCTGAGAGCTCAGAAGTTTTAATGGTTTGGCTGCTTAGTTTTGACCTCCACCTGGTCTTGACACCCTGGCTAGGAACTGACTGAGGAAAACGTGTGGCTTGTGAAGTCTCTCCTGGGTAGATTGTCCTTAAACATACCCTGGGTGAGAAACAAGCCCTTTGTCTGAGAGTTAGCAAAGTCTGACTTGGTAACCACCCACCCCTTTTAATTTTTTCCCCCTTGACTGTCGGCTGTGTGCGGTGTGTGCTGCCTCTGCTTTGACTCGCTGGGCATTGAGTCTGCCCAGTGTCCCTTGGCTGTTTGGGATCGAGCGGAGAGAGGTCTCTGCCAGCACCTGGGACCCCCCGAGACTCCCGAAATGGAGATGCCGGGGCCTGGAGCCGGGGCCTTCTTCGTGCAAGCCTGTGAGCCGTGGCCCCCCAGCTGCCCCCAGCTGGCGGTGTTTCCTAGGCTGCCCTCAGCTGGTTCCCCTCGGCCCATTTCAGAGTGAAAGGAATACATGTGGCGGCAGCAGTGCTGAAATCTCTGCATTGTAGAAGCTACACTAAAAGCATCTGCTCTGTCCACAGGGAAGGGGTCCTACGGGAGCCCCCTTGGGTGCTTGGTGACCGTAGCTACAAAGGACAATAATCGATGGCAGCGCGAGGATACTAGAGAGATCTGGAGTGGAACATTTTGGTGGTTCCAGCTCCACAGGCCAGACAAATCTGCCTTGCTTCTTTGTGTTCTCGGCCAGGAAGGATTCTGCCTGTGGGCTTGGCCAGACTACTGGAAGCTTCCTACTTTGCCTGGCATTACGAAGGTAGACCTGGTGAGACCCTGGCTGGACGTGCCTCACTGGAAAGAGAAGGCCGAAGTGTGTGGTGGTCTGATCTCCTTTGCTTGTCTTTTCGTCTGCAGGGAGTGGGGACGGCCAAGGGCAGATACTCCAGCGCTTTCCAGAGAAGGACTGGGAGGACAACCCTTTCCCTCAGGGCATTGAGCTGGTGAGTAGTCTGTGGGACGTGTGATGGGGGGTGGGGGGCGGGTGGCCGAAGCTTTCCCACTGCAGAGCCCCTTTGTGCGCCATCCCAGCACAAGCAGGAGAATGGGAAAGGTGTGCCCTTAGGCAAATGGATCCCGCACACAGAGCGGGGTCTTCTTGCGTCATTCATTCTCAGGGTTTCAAGTCTGCATCTCAGTCTCTGCATCCTCCTCTGGAGCTTCTGTGCTGACTGTTACCTTTCCTGATCCAGAGAGTCCCTCCTCAGCCACACTCCTCCCAGTGCAGCACAGTCCTGTAGGCATGAGCGTCTCAGAGCACGAGACGGGCACATCTCCGCCTCTCACCCGGTGGCGACTCGCTCCTGTTACCAGACGACTTCTCAGTCCGTGGGGTTGCCTCTCCCAGTCTGGTGTTGTGGTGAAGTGCGCGGACTCTCATCTGGAAGAACCGGGTTTGATTCCCCACTCCTCCTCCACTCGCACCTGGCTGGATGACCTTGGGCAGGCCGTAGTTCTGATAAGATCTGTCCTTGAAAAAAAGAGCAGTTTCTGTCAAGAGCTCTCTCAGCCCCACCCACCTCACAGGGGAAGGGAAAGGAGTTTGTAAGCCGCTCTGAGACTCCTTCGGGTAGAGAAGGGCAAGGGGTATCAATCCAATCTCTTCCCCCCCCCCCAGCACTGCTGGGCCTTAGGCAGCCCTGGAGGGTGCGTCTGGAGGAAGGGGAAGGGCTTCCCTCTCTGCCTTCCTGCCCCCTCCTCCGCAGAAGGCCCAGCCGCTCGGAGACCACCCGGGCACCCGGGAGAGAACAAGCTGGTTGTGAAGGAAGGGCAGTCCAGCCCCTCCCCTCCCCTCTCACTGTCTGCAGCTTGCTCTTTCCCTCAGTGGCTGCCCTGGGGATGGCGTTGCTTTCTCTTCTCTGTGTGGCTGACAGTGCAGAGGCGTTGGGGGGCAGGGGCAGGGGCGTGTGGGTGGTGCCTAAAGAACAGTGAGGTACGTGGCGGGCAGGCCGCAAGGGGAAGTGGATCCCAAAGTCAAGGTGCCACCACTGGAGGAGCCCTGTATCTTGGCACCACCCACCTCACCTCGACAGGGAGGAGTCACGGGGAGCAGAGGGCCTCCACGGAAAGGATCTTAGCTGGGGGCCTAGGCAGGAAGGGAGGAGGCAGTCCTTTGCGTACGCGCTTTCAAATGCAGCCTTCCATGCATATGCAGCGTGTTATAGAACTTAACTGGGATGCAGTCAGAGCAGGGGTCGCTGCAGCGATCGAGGCCGAGGCCTTCTTCCCCTGGTGTTGCCTTCTGGCACGGGCATGCAGAGGGGTCTATGACCTCTGGGTACTGCAGCCCCTGGCGTGGCGGGCTTTTCTTGGACAGCTGGGCCGCTTCATTGGGCCTCAGTGGCTTACAGTCATCTGTACAAATAGGACCAGGCTGAACAGAGCCAGCTGTGGCATCTGAGCCGAGGTGGACGGGAGCAGTTGTGTCCGCAGAATGCCTGGCAGGTGAGTCACGGCAGGTCTGCAGGTCTTCTGGTTGACATCCTCCGGGATGCGGTAGAAGAGCCCCCTGACGACCTGGGAAACCCTGCCAAAGGAGAGTGTGTGGATGCAGTGTTGGTGGCCAAGCAAGTGGGCTTCCGTTGAGGTGGGCTTGGTAGCGCACGCTCACCCATGTTTCGTGGCGTTCCCTTTGCATTTTGCCTCCCCCGCTCCCTAGCCCGTCTCCCTAGCCAAAGGGTGTTCCTGGCTCCTCTGGAGGAGGCCGTGGGGGTCCCCGTCCCCCATCCAGGCCATCTCTGCGTGTCACAGGCCAGCCAGGGCTGGGGCAGGAGCCCAGGGGTGTCACTCACTTGCTCACACGCGATAAAATCCCTGGGAGACGCCGGATGCCTCAGCCCGCCCAGCCCTTCGCCGTCACAAAGGTTCTGGTAATTTGTGTACCTGGAACTCCCCAGGAAGTGGTCCGTGGCAGAGGCAGGGCGGGAACCCCCCACCACCACCACCACCACCACCACCGTTGCCTTGTCAGCAGCCAGCCAGGGGAAGAGTCTCTCCATAGGCGTGGGGATCAGGATGTTCTCCGAGAGCCCCATGGTTGTCATGGCAGCCATGAAGTCATGAGCTGTTTCTGTTAGGACAACCTCCGTATGATTGCTGAATCCCCCGAGGACAATAAACCTCAGGGGGGGGGGCTCCATGCGAAATCTGAGGCTGTCGGGGAGGTGGCTGGGCCACATGGTGGGTGAAACAGAATCCGCGTTCTGTCTCAGGTCCCCGCAGTGTCAGGTTCATACATTCGAAACGGGGGCTCTGACCAGCGCCACTGTGGCCCAATGTGCTGTGGCCACTCCCCTTTCCGTTCGCCGCTTGCAGTGGCGGGAAGCTTGGACTGGGGGAGAGAGAGCAGCCCCCCCCTCTCCACACCCGCCCAGGCTCTGCAGGACACCCTCAGGGTCAGCTTCCTCATCCAGTCTTGAATCTGGGGTGTGGGGGCGGGGGCATTATCGTAAACCGACTTTTGTACCCAAGTGCTGCTTGTGACCCCAGTACAGGGTGTGTTCCGGGATAGCAGCTTAGTCTTTGGAGGGAGGGTGGCCGGGTCCAGAAGTCGGGGGGGGGGCGGGTCTCTCGCACAAGTGCCTTAGGAGCTCTCAGGACACAGGAGGGTAGAGGAGGAGGAGGAGGAGGAGGAGGTGGTGTCTCAGAGCGGCTGACAAACTCCTCTCCCTTCCCCTCCCCACAACAGACAGACACCCTGTGAGGTGGGTGGGGCTGAGAGAGCTCTTGACAGAGACTGCTCTTTTTCAAGGACAGCTCTTGTCAGAACTAGGGCTTGCCAGGTGCGAGTGGAGGGGGGGAATCGAACCCGGCTCTCCCAGATTAGACTCCGCGCACTTAACCATGACACCAAACTGGTAGGATCCAAGGAGTTGTGGGGTGGGGCGTCTGGGAAGGTTAACAGGGTAGGTTAAAAGGAGTCCAAATTGTTCAGCATCCAAAACCTTTGTAAATTAAGCTAGTTACTGTCATTTGCTTAAGTGGTGTACAATTCTTGATCCTCATGGGATGGAAGAAAATGTGTTCCCACACACCCCCTCCCTGTGGTTCGTGTCCTCTAGTGTGTTGCCTCTCTTACCAAGGGCAGAAGGTGCAGTTTTGAAACGCTGAGCGCTGGCTAGAGACACTCCAAGCAAAGGTCTCTCTCTCTATATTTGTTTTATTTAAGCAAGGCCCAGTTCTCAGAGTTTATCTGACAAGATGAAACAGCAAGATGCTGTATCAACTTGACACACAATACACATCTATTTCAATAACTATAGATAGTAAACACATACACAAAAATTGAACATGCAGACACAGTTTCCCACCCAACAAAACATGCAACCCAGCAAAGAGATCTCTTTGGGTTGACCTCCAATTCCCCAGGAGTGTCTGGAGTTTCAGAAGCCAACGAAAATCTGTTGGAGCCCTAGCCGTATTTATACCCAAAGATCTGTGACAGATGCTCGCTCCCCCTCCCTCCCTCCCTCTTGGGACTGACACTCAGTCTCACCTCCGCCTCCCGCGTCGCCACGACAGCCCCGTTCCCCCAGATGCTCGCTCAGTGTGTGATGTGGTAGCTAAAGAGGCAGATGTGATTTTGGGCTGTATCAACAGAAGTATAGTGTCCCAGATCATGCAAAGAAGAAGAAGAGAAGAGATTGGAGTTATGCCCCATGGCCCTTCACTACCCAAAGGTCTCTCAGAGCGGCTGACAAACTCCTTTCCCTTCCCCTCCCCACAACAGACGGACACCCTTCTGTGAGGCAGGCGGGGCTGCTGAGGGAGCTCTTGGTAGAAACTGCTCTTGCTCAAGGACAGCTCTTATCAGAACTACAGCTTGCCCAAGGTCATCCAGCCAGGTGCAAGTGAAGGAGGAGTGGGGAATCAAACCCGGTTCTCCCAGATTAGAGTCCGCACACTTAACCACTACACCAAACTGGCTCTCAGATCATTGATAAAAGTGATGGTATCGCTTTACTCTGCTCTGGTTAGACCTCACTTAGAGTATTGTGTTCAGTTTTGGGCACCACAATTTAAGGAGGATCTAGACAAGCTGGAACGTGTCCAGAGGAGGGCAACGAGGATGGCGCGGGGTCTGGAGACCCAGTCCTCTGAGGAAAGGCTGAAAGGGCTGGGTCTGTTTAGCCTGGAGAGGAGACGACTGAGAGGGGGGATAGGATAACCATCTTCAGGTACTTGAAGGGCTGTCATTATAGAAGGTGGTGTGGAGGTAGAATCATCGAACCACAGAGAGTTGGAGGGGGCCATACAGACCATCTAGGCCAGGGGTGGCCAAACTTGCTTAACATAACAGCCACACAGAATAAACATCAAATGTTTGAGAGGAGGGCAACCACATCACACTGACTGCTCGTATTTAGTTTACAGTCCACCCTTACCCCAAGATCTCTTTCGCATACACTACTCCCTAGAAACGTATCCCCCATCCAGTATTTGTGCTTGACATTTTTGTGGCCCAGATGTAATACTGTGCATTTATCTGTGTTGAATTGCATCCTGTTCACAACTGCCCACTTCTCCAGAGTATTCAGGTCTCCTTGAATTTTAACTCTATCTTCTTGGATGTTTGCTACTCCTCCCAACTTGGGATCATCAGCAAATGTAATGAGTAGCCCTTCTACCCCTTCATCCAGATCATTGATAAAAATATTGAAAAGTACTGGGGCCAAAACCGAGCCCTGAGGCACCCCACTGGACACCTCCCTCCAATCTGATGAAACGCCACTGACCACCACTCTTTGTGTGTGGTCCTCTAACCAGTTCCCTATCCACCGAACTGTCCTATAGTCCAGTCCACAGTCTTCCAGTTTTCCCATCAGAATGTCATGGGGAACCTTATCAAAAGCTTTACTGAAATCCAGGTAAATCACATCAACAGAGTTCCCACGATCCAGTAAGCTCGTCACACGATCAAAGAAGGAAATCAGGTTGGTCTGACAAGATCTGTTGGGGACGAAACCACGCTGACTTCCCCGGATCACTAAGTGGTCCTTCAGATGCTTACAGATTGATCCCTTTAAAATCTGCTCTAATATCTTCCCAGCAGCAGAAGTCAGACTGACTGGCCTGTAGTTTCCCGAGTCATCCTTCTTCCCTTTCTTAAAGATGGGGATAACATTTGCTCTCCTCCAATCTTGTGGCACATCCCCAGTCCTCCAGGAAGCCTTGAAGATGATGGACAGAGGCTCTGCGAGTTCATTAGAAAGCTCTTTGAGCACTCTTGGGTGCACACCATCTGGCCTAGATGTGCAGTATTCAGTGCAGTGCAGCTGAACGCTTTCCCTGTGAGGAAAGGTTAAGGCGCTTAGGGCTCTTTAGCTTGGAGAAACGACGACTGAGGGGTGACATGATTGAGGTTTATAAGATTATGAATGGGAAAGAGCAGGTAGAGAAGGAGGTACTTTTCTCCCTTTCTCACAATACAAGAACTCGTGGGCACTCCATGAAATTGCTGAGCGGTCAGGTTAGAACGGATAAGAGGAAGTACTTCTTCACCCAAAGAGTGATTAACACTTGGAATTCACTGCCACAGGAAGTGGTGGCGGCTACAAGCATGGACGGCTTCAAAAGGGAATTAGATAAGCATATGGAGCAGAGGTCCATCAGTGGCTATTAGCCACAAGGTATAGATAGGGACTCTGGGGCAAGTGATGCTCTGCTATTTTTGTGCTGGGGGGGGGTCAACAGTGGGAGGGTTTCTAATGTCCTGGCCCCACTGGTGGACCTCCTGATGGCAACTGGTATTTCTGGCCACTGTGTGATACAGAGTGTTTGACTGGATGGCCCTTTGGCCTGATCCAACATTGGCATCTCTTATGTTCTTATGTTCTTATGATTCTGTAAACTTGGGCAGAGAATGAGAGGGAGGGTAGGAAAAGTTGCCTCAGTGCTTAGTTCTTGTGGCTCTTTCTTAGACGCCCAGAGAAGTGCTGATCGCCACTTTGGGGTCAGGAAGCCATTTTTCTTCAGGCCAGTTTGGCTGGAGATCCTGGAGGGTTTTTTTGTGCCTTGGGGAAGCTAACTGTCAGGAAGTTCTTCCTAATGTTTTGCTGAAAACTCTTCTGATTTAATTTCAACCCGTTGGGTTCTGGTCCGACCTTCTGGGGCAACAGAAAACAACTCCGCACCATCCTCTATATGACAGCCCTATAAGTACTTGAAGATGGTGATCATATCCCCTCTCAGGAGTTTCCTCTCCAAACTAAACGTGCCCAGCTCCTTCAACCTTTCCTCATAGGACGGTCTCCAGACCCCTCACCCTCTTCGTTGCCCTCCTCTGGACACATTCCAGCTTGTCTATATCTTTCTTAAACTGTGGTGCCCAAAACTGAACACACTACTCTAGGTGAGGTCTAACCAGAGCAGAGCAAAGTGATACCATCACTTTGCAAGATCTGGACACTGTATGTCTGTTGATACAGCCCAAAATCCATTTGCCTTTTTAGCTACTGCATCACACTGCTGACTCATGATCAGTGTATGGTCTGCTAAAACCCCTAGATCAGGGGTGTCGAACTCATTTGTTCTGAGGGCCAGATCTGACATAAACAAGACCTTGTTGGGCCGGACCATGTGTGTCATAAAAGGTAATGCCAGGTAGTGGAGTTATAAACTTTATAAAAGACACAGACAAACACAATTAAAGATTTTTAAAACTTTAAATAACATCTTTCCAGTGAGTTCGACACCCCTACCCTAAATCCTTTTTGCACATACTACTGTCAAGACAAGTCTCCCCCATCCTATAATTATGCTTTTGATTTTCCCTACCTAAATGCAGAACTTTACATTTTTCCCCACTGAAATTCATTTTATTTGTTTTATCCCAGTCTTCCAGCCTGTCAAGATCATCCTGTTCCTGACTCTGGTCTTCTACCGTATTTGCTGCTGCCCCTCCCAATTTAGTATCATCTGCAAATGTAATAAGCGTTCCCTCTATCCCTTCATCCAAATCATTGATAAAGATGTTGGGTTAGGGTTAGATGGTGCACTCCACTTGATCCTTTGAGGCACTCCACTTGTCACTCCTCTCCAAGAGGGTGAGGAACCATTCACAAGCACTCTTTGGGTGCCATCTGTCAACCAGTTACAGAACTGATTCAGTCAAGTTCAACCCAGGCGGAAGGCTAGCTTCAAACTCTTATAGGTTTCTAATCAAAACTACTTAAAGGGGGTACTAGTGCCTTACACTGTGCTTGGGAAGGGGATTTGGGTTCAGAAATACAAGCAGAAGATTCTGAGAACCTCAGGGAGACATATGGCTTTAAATCCATTCCTGCAACAGTAAGAGAAACACCCTTGATGGTCTTGCACAGGTCGTCTCACTCTGGGAAAACTTAAATATACGTATTATAACTTCTTTGTGATGTGGGAGATGGCCTAAAATAGCATAGGTGCATGATTCAACATGAGATGGAGCTTTAAAAAAAAGTATACGATGAGGGAAATTTATTTTCAACATATTGTTAAAATAGCTGATCTAAAATTGACTTCATTAAATTTATTTATTATTTAAAACATTTTAATGTTGCCTTTTCAGACTGTCAGGTGGAAAATTAAATAATAAAAATCTGGACAAAATGTTGTCAGTGGTCCCCCGTATTTCCCAATTTTTCCATTGTAAAAATTGAAAAAATCCCCAGATTTTTTTTATGCTGTACATTGTGAGTGTGAAAATGCTTGCCTTAAGAATCATTCATTCTAAGAGAAAAGTATTTCACAGTAATCCCCCCCCCCCCACTGCGGCTAGACAAGTGCGCACAC